CCTCCTCGAACACAGCCTCGTGGACCCCGCAGGCAAACAGCGACGTGGGCAGGCCACTCATGTCCATCATCTCGCAGGCATCCTTTTCGTTCTCCCCAAAGACCATCTCCGCCTCCTCCAGGTCACTGCTATAGGCCTCTGAGCCATCATTCCACGAGCTGGCCCCCTCTCGCAGCATAACAGCTGAGCAACGGCACTGCGAGGCAGCAGCTACATATTATTCATTACGTTATCAGTTGCGCTGGCGGCCGACGTCCCCATGGTACGTTTTCAGGGTGTAATAGTAGAGATACTATTGTTTGCAGTCACACGCTGCCAAGGGAAACATTCCATCATTCCGGTACGTGGTGCTACACCACCCTCTTGTGGTTAAATAGGCGTAATGCACAGAATAATCAAAAGCAAGACGGATTTCCAGTTTATGTTTTATATTTATGTTTACCTAACTTAGGAAAACATTGCTAATTATCTATATTCATCTAACTTCATTATAGATAAGGCCGTAAATAAATTTGTTCTCAAAGTACACCGTACAAAATTGAATGATGGGGATAATACAGCAGCTCTTACAGGTTAATGCGAAAAACTATTTTTTTCCTCTGAGAATTTATTTCAGAGGAACAAGCCAAACGGTCCACCTGGAAGTTCAAACTAGAAGTATTGGCACCAACTGAAATAAAGCAGAAATGAAAGCGACCTTAAAAAGGCGATAAGAACCGCCGATGTCAATCACGCAGAGCGCACCCAGTGTCGGCCAAACGTCAATACTTGGAACAATAAAAACGCATTAGTTTGCAAATCCCAATTACTAATAAAATACCGTATTTAATTCGTTTTTCACCAATTAAATTCATGATGGGAGGTGACTTTGAAGAAAAACAACAGCGAAGATGAAAACGAGGACAAAGAAACAGAAACCGACAGTGAATTACTTACCGTTGTTTCCGATCGGGCCACGGATTGTGTTGCGGCGGTTTTATATTTACTGCGAGCGAAACGTACCCAGCAGAAATTAACTTTATTCCGACATTTGCAGCTTGCAGGGCTATCCCAGGAGGGGTGTGCAGGTGCCACCTACAGGCATACGGATCGACCAATAGCATTCCACACCGGGGCGCGGCTCCACCAATCTGAATCCAGATGTATGAGGGGGGCGTGTCCTTGAAGTTAGGCACTCACGGCCGGGATGGCCTCCGGTTCGCCGTGCCAATCGCCGGGTGTCGGCGGCGGCTTCGCGGTGGGCGGTGCCCTTCTGCTGGTCTCTTACAGCGGCCCCCTCAGCCTCGTTAAACAGACTGATTGCATTCGCCTGTTGCACTGACACCTGCTGAGTGCATGAGACCGGTTTGCAAACGACCCGAAACCTGAATGCACTCTTTCGTATTCTGTTGTACATCGTAACAGCCCGTCTGTCAGTGTTAGTCGTAGATGTTGAAATGCATTTAAAACCCCTTGCTAATTCTTTAAATAATTGGAGATTTGGGACATTAGTCGTGCTAAAAGCAGGTTTATTGATTGCAATATCCACCGTGGCCCTGTTCTTATTCTTGATTTTCATTCCCAGCCATGTAATGAGAATAATCCATTTGCTCGGATAAGCCATTTCCTTATAAATGGTGTGAAATCCACAAATGGATAAAAATAGGCCTAGTGGTCTTTCCAGAAAGTTTATTTCCGGGTGCAGATGAAGCGGTTAGGAAGCGTTGGCGCACCTCCCCCGTCCAAGCCAGCCGTGAAAAGGTCTCAGGATTTCTGTCCAGTCAGGAAAGACATGAGCTGTTTTCCATTAACTCTGTGAATAATTAAAAGCTTTTAATTAAAAGATTTTGTGTTCACTGTTTCAGTGGAATGTGTTTAGGGAGGGAGTTTGGAGGTGACGCAGCCAGCACCACAAGCTCGCCATCGCCGCCCTAATGGAAGGAGAACAGCACTGGGCTCACGGCAGGAGCAGAGGGGAAGCTGCCAGGAACCCAACCTTGGGCTGTACGACTAGCATGGCCGTCCAGAGGCTGAGCGCCCCTAGTGGCACTCCTAAAGACAGCACAGGTCCTCACCATTTTAAGGGGGGAAGGATGAACTGTTAGAGATTTCCTGACATGAGGTGCATTTCTCAGAAGCTCCCGTTACTGACTTGCATGAATGGAGCTGTTCAGCTGCACGGTAGCCCTTTGCGTTTTGGGAAACGTACCCCAGGACATGTAACCTGGGGGATCAAGGTCCCAATTAAAGGCGGTGAAGCCCAAGCACCTCCCCAGCCCCCCCAAATCCCGCTTTGTACGACACACACTGGCACCAGAGCCCAGGTAATGGGCTCCCCCACGCCCAAGGGCAGCAGATCCAGCAGCAGCCGGAAGCCAGAGGAGCTTCCTGGGAACATCCCAGAGACCCTGGGTGATGAGAGTTTCCCTGATGACCCTACTGTAGCCACCATCTGCAAAGAGCCGGACCGGAACCTTTACAGGAGAGTCTCCACATAGTCAGCGTGACACGTCACCTCGCTAACTTAATAAACATACCTGACAATGACCGGCGTTTACCAAAAAAGCCAGCTTGGATGCATCCGTTTCTCTTCACTCCAACTTGCTATTGCTTGTTAGGTCTGAATGTAATAATCCTGTTAAAAACAAAGCATTCTGTAACCCACGCATGGTCATCAGTAACATAAGCAGAGCAGTCTGTAAGTCATCAGTAAGACAGCAGTGTTCCCCAAGCTTCTCTCTGCTGCGACACCCCTCTCACAGCCCGTGTCCCAAATGCTGTTACAGGTCATTTGGCTCTGCCCTCTTCTGGCCACTTTTGGAAGTTTTTCAAAGCAACCTTAGTGTGATATTAAAATTCGTGGGAGTTCCCCCCCCCCCCCCCCCTTAAAGGTAAACAAAACATTCTTCATCAAACAGCAAGTACTCATTTTGAGCCCTTATCTCGAACTGACACACCAAACACACAATCTTCACATAATCTTGCTTGATTTATTTGATTACCACCTAATATACTGCAGGGTAACTCGAGATTATGGAAGCAGCTTTCTGTAGACACCCCACACATTCATCACAGCAATGAAAGTCATTCGGTACTGGTGAATGAAACATGCATGACCACAAGAGGGCAGTGTAAGCAACACTCATCCTCACCCCGTCCTGACAGCACAGTGCACACAGGTAGAGCATGAGACAGGCAGAGGTCAGAGGTCACGCTGATCCCAGTGCACCCTCAGAAAGAGGTCAGAGGTCAGGACCGTAAGGCAGCAGAAAGCACATTTATGGTCCAGACAGGTCAAACAAACGCTAAGGCTTGTTCTCCGTCACGACTGGGCCGGTCCCACCCCAAGTCTGTCTCCTCTTCTCGACCCATCCGTCCAGGCCCGGATGCCCTGGGGGTGGTTCTCAGTATGGGGGGCGAGCGCTGTTTAGGATCAGCCCATAAATATTTACAGCTTCATCCAGGGCAGGGTGTCGTGTCCAGGTCACCCTCCCACCCGCACCGGGCGCAGTCCCAGAATCAGGGCAGGGGCCCTCTCAGTCCTGCTTGAGGTCATCCGACCTGTAGGTGGCAGCAGCAGGGCCAGTGGCCAGCTGCTCCGGCACCACGGGCAAGGCGGCAGGGATGGCGCTCTCGCTGTTCACCAGAGCACCGTACGAGAAAGAGCCATTGTAGTCAGGTTGCACGGCCCGGCCATTGTCGTGGATTGTGGGGATTCCTGTATGGAGAGCAAAAGGAAAAAGGACGTAAGAGCACCTCCAAGTGGCCAGGAGCTGCGGACGGGCACTAAAAGTGACCCACCTTGCATCATGTCCATGGTTACGTATGGCTCAAACGCTTTTGTCCTCCTCTTGTTCTTCGTGACTAAAAATACTCCCAGGAAGCAAATGGCACACCTGTGTAACACCAGCAAACGGGGGGGAGGGTGTCACATACAGTCCCCAGCTTCAAGACGGCCCTCACACTCCCCCCCAGTGGGGCCCTGAGCTTTGGGACGGCGCTCACACTCCCCCCAGTGGGGCCCTGAGCTTTGGGACGGCTCCCATGCTCCACCCCATGGGGCCCCGAGCTTTGGGACGGCCCTCACACTCCCCCCAGTGGGGCCCTGAGCTTTGGGATGGCCCTCACACTCCCCCCAGTGGGGCCCTGAGCTTTGGGACG